TCTGATTTTTATCTATTTTCATCTTGTTTTTGATGTTTACTATTAAGAGTTGTCTTTGACAGGATTACCTATTTTTGAGATGTATATAGACATTTGGAAAATGTAATTATGCTGGGAAAAAAAGGTCAATTTCCTCTTTGGAATGGATACTGGATACTGCTGACATCTCAACTGTCTTTTTCAGTCAGAGTTTCTGTTGGGTCTAGCTGGCTTGAACCTTATTCCCTTAATTCTAGATTCCTAGGAGATCTTCTTGTCATTTCCCTTCCCTTGCATGCTGGTAATATGAGAATGTTAACTGTATTGGACAGAAATTCATAGAAATTGGAGCAATAACCTCAAGAGCCTACCATGTATCTCTGCATCAATCATTTATTATGTTTCTTATATACAGAAGGTTGCTAAAGAAATAGAACTTTTCTGATGAATGCATCAACCCACATTTTTTTCTGAGGAAGTTCCCATGACATAGCTGCTATTCTGATAAATATCATATGTCTATGACCAATAAACAGAAGAATGTGTGACTATATTTCAGGGTGATCCAAAGGGAATATAACCACAAATATGCAGAAGCTAAGCAAGTCTGAATATCTCCAGTGACTGGAGATGACAATGTTTAGGAATTCCTAAATAATTTGCTTTGAGTTCCATAATCACAACTACATAGGATATAAATGATTTTTTTTACTGCAGCAGCATTGTGCTGTGTTCTTAAGCTATTGTTCTTCTCTTTGTCTCTCATGAGGCTGTTCATATTTGAAAATGAATTTGGAAGAAATACTTTGGACCTCATGTAAGCACAGCATCTTTTTGCAATCCATTAAAGCATCCTAACTTATTTTGAAGTATGGAATGGAGAAGTATTTGGTTGTATTTTAAGAGACAGTGATCAGTTGTTAATGTTGAATATACTTGCGGGGGATGAAGGGGGAAATTTCTTCTTCTTTCTTTCCTTCTTTTTTTTTCTTTCATTTTTTGACGGGGATTTTTTTTTTTTTTGCACTTTTAAAACCTTTTCCCCCCCTCAACGTATTTTTCAATTAGTTTTTTGTATTAGTTTCTGTTTAATATAATTCTTAATAAAATTATTGAAAAAAAAATAAAGCATCCTGACTTATTTCAAGCCTCCTTGAAGAATTAAAATTTAATGAGTTGATATCTTAAAGCAATGGTTGGCACAAAAGCCTTTTTTTTTTTTTTCAGGTTTATACAAATGCCAAAAAGAAGTTGCATTGCTTTGATGAATCACAGAGAAGTGGTATGTTCATGAGAATTCTAAAACTCTTCCTCTAAATCATTTTTGAAGCAGTATACAGCCTTAGCCTCTGTATAGACAGTCCTGACTTTTAGGGTTTAATAGTTTTTTAAAAAGTCATCAATAGCTTGAAGGAAGGAAGGAAGGAAGGAAGGAAGGAAGGAAGGAAGGAAGGAAGGAAGGAAGGAAGGAAGGAAGGAAGGAAGGAAGGAGTGGCAATTGTTATTTTAAAACAAAAGCTGCATATTGGCAAAAATGAGATTAAAAATAATGAAAGGAATAAGAAATCAGTGACTGGCTTGAGAGTCTATTTTTTCAAAACACATAAAAGTGTCACGAACCAGACAAAACTTATCCTAAAGTTAGGATTGTTATGTTAACTTCTGTAAAGCTTTGTTCTTTCACCATTATCATTCTGTTGGCTGTTAAATGCAACTATCACCATTCCTGAATTCTTAGTTTCATACAGAACCATAGTAATCCAGATGCCACTAATTCATACTTTTGTTTGTAATTAAACTTCCAACTACATTTCCATACATGTATTTATCAACAGTTGCAGATCTATCTGGAGCAGGAGGATCTTGCAAAAGTAACTCTTACGTTTTCATTACTATCTGGTTGGAGTACTGCCATGTGTTAGCTTCAAAGGTATCCCAGAGCCTATAGCTGGAGCCAATGCAGTTGCCTGCATGTTAACTGGCATAAGGCACCAGGAGTAGATTATACCTGTGCTGCACATCATACAATGACTTTTCTTATGTTACCATTACTGTGTACCATGGATGTTTTAATAACTTACCATAGATGTTTCAGATTTTAGATTATGTTGTATAGCTTCAAGAGCCTTTTGACTGCACTGTTACAGGAATTTAACAAACAACCTCCACTACATTCCACTCTATGAGCTCAGATCACCTACATTCTAATCTATAACATCCTTCATCTTAGTTTCACATGCACAATGTGTGTGTGTGTGTGTGTGTGTGTGTTTAAGTAGTACTGGTTATGTTTGGCACATACCACAGCCATAAGAAAAACTCTATTTCACTTCAAGCATATCTCTATTTCAAGTAATTTATATCTCGCAAGTGCAACTCTGGTTGGCTGTGAATTTTAAAAAAACTGTACAATCAAAATAAAGAGAAAAAGGAAAAGGAAAAAAAAAGAAACAAGGGCCAAGGGCAACCAACATACTACAGCAACAAAACAAACCAGCAACTAACCCACTTGGGTCGACTAACTTCCCAACCCCCATACTGGGAAAAATAGCTTGGTCTTGATAGCTTTCAGTCTGCCTTCCTTGAAGAGTTAGAGGCAGCCCAGGAATTCATGGCCACCATGACAGCCATGGACCTGTTAGAAGACATAAAGGGCCTGACATATATTGGAGAGTACTTGCTTAACCTGTTTTATGTCTTAGAGCAGATATAACACTGAGATTGAGGAACATTACCATCAGTCCCATGTCATGATCAGATCATTCTATGATTGCTTTGGAGCTGAGAGATGCCATCACCTTCCACAGGGAGAAGGCACCTATTTGACTGGACCACTTCAAATGCCTGATTGTACCATATGGTTTTCAGAGGTTGCTTGGGGAGTTCCTGAAGCTCTGGTGGGCAGTCCCAGTTCCCACCAGAACAAGGGAGCATCTGTTGTATTGGATAGGATTGCACCTGAGTGGTCTCTCTCTCCTTATTTACTCCTTCATTTACCAAGCAGCTTAAAGGGATGAAGCAGCAGAGGAGATACTTATAGTACCACTGGCAGAAAATGAAGAATCTGGGTGAACATGGATTACATCTCATGTCTGCACCTATTATGGGGTGATTTGAGGTAAAACATAAGTATTTATCTTCTCTTATTGTATGCATCTACTGCTTAAAATAACTTGGATCCTATTGAGCAAATCAGCACAGGAAGAACAGTTACTGGGCCACTGTGAGAAATTTTATAGGCAACTGGAAGATGAAATCAATGGATTTTCTCAGAGTGTCTGGAGTCAGATGCACATCCCAGTGAATTAAAAAAAAAAAAATTAGTGCCAATGTCCAGCAAAGTAAAAACATAGACACAATAACCAAACACAACAAAAACAGTGTGACAGTAATATAAAGCTTAAAAATTAAGACTTAAAAATCTGAGGAAGGGAAAAATTGAATAAGACAATATAAGACATAAATAGAAATAGAATAAAATATAAGAGAAATGCAATACAAGCAAAATACAATAAAAGAAAAGAGAAAAGAAAAGAAGGAAAAGAAAGACAAGATTTCATAATGTCACCACTCCAATATTAGGATCTCTTATCTGTTCTTATGGAAATTGCTGCAGAGAGAAACTGAGTAATTCTGCTAGTGATGGGAAGGTTTCAGTTTATGAAACATCTCCTTAATAATAAATTTGTTTATTGTTAGGAAGTGGTAGTGGTATGTTTGCATGCAAATTGACGTAGAAAGGGCAACAGAAAAATACATGCAATAATATCTCAGATTCATTCGAACCACAAGGACAACATCTCTCAGTGAATGGGGTCCTCCTGTGTCTCCCATTAAGTACTGCTGATAAAGCTCCAGGATGTGCTGGGCAAACAAGGCTGAATAACTACCCTGAGGGTATAAAAGGTTTCCAGATTGGAACCCACCCCTAAAAGTGGACTACAGCACCCAAATCTGTCTGCTGTGCAACATCAAAGATTCTTTGACAGATGTTGTCTTTTACTCTCTCTAAACCTAGAGACAACAAGAGGGTTGATAGAAAGGTCACAATAACACAGATTAGCTGAGATATTTTTTCTTTCCAGCTTGATGAAAAGCCATCAAAGAGAACTGATGGAGCCAATGAACCAAGGGAAAACAAGAGTTTAAGGCAAAAGGAGGATTAGCAAACGTGGAGTCTCACTTCCAGTGAATCATACCTGTTTCCATGTGGATTAAAGCATTCAAAACACAACATGGAGTGGGGAAGAATGCTTGTAAAAACAATGTCCAAGGGTTTTTAATCAATGTAGGCCCAGACCTGTACACCGTACATCATTTGGGATATAGTTTTAGTTTTAAAAGTCTTCATGGTGGCAGGTATGCATCTCCTCCATTTAGAACTTTTTTTTTTTTTTTAAATAAAGCTAAGTTTGCCTGGCACTACTGTTAACTTTGACAGAGGTGGCTCTAATCTGTTCTGACCAAACTCTGGAGCCTTGAAAAATCACACCAACATATTTAAGAGCTGGAACTTGTCCAATTTTATTTTTTTTCAATTTTGCCATTGATGCTTGTGGCAATTAGGTCTTCCTGTGGAAACCATAATTTTGGTCTTATCTTAGAAAGTCCTGTTTAATCCAATGAATTTAACAGGACTTTCTGCCAAGTGTCGTAGGATTTTAAGCCAAGCTCATGCATGTCTTCTCAAGTAAATGCAATTGAGTTCAAGTGACCGTGACACATAAATGCAGGGAATTGGTTACTAAAAATTACTGGTAGAATTTCAGATCCTCTTTAGGAAAAAAAATAATTGTTACTGAGTTTGCCATTAAACAGCAGCAACAACAAAAACCTGCTTCTGGTCTAACCTGAATTTGTCTACTTTTAAACTGCAGCCCCGGTGATCCTTGCTTCTAATTTTTATTACTAATATTAAAGTTATCCCTTTTCAATGCTTTTGCTGCAGCCTAGCAAAGGAGTGAGCTTTCGTTCATCATCCCGCTGAAAGCTGGGTTGCTTGGTTTAAATTACCTGCTGGATAGAAGGCAGGCGAACCGGAAAATCCAGCTTTGCGTAACTTCGGAGCGAAAGGTTGCTTTTCTCGATTCGATAGAAACAGCGGGGACTTCCTGTCTTTCTTTATTGATTTACCAGAAGCATCTTGGAAAACGTTTGTCAGACATTACACCGTTTTATTTGTTTTCAAATCATCTTGAATCATGGCAACACTGGAGCCCCACTCTGTTTTTTACTTTCGTTTTCTTCCACTCTCTGTATCAACGTAATCGACTCTGGACATGTAAAGGAAGTCGCTATTTTCCCGTTGACATAGCCTCTGATCCTGGGGGAAAAAAACAATCGGCCATGGATGCAGGGAATGGCCTCGTCCCCGCGCAAAATCAGCCGGACATTGAGTTACTCCGAAAAGACGAAGAAAGAGAGGAAGAAAGCGAGCTTCTGCAGAGTATAACCTCCCCTCCCGTTGCGGTAAGACCCTGCATACTTCACTTCCTCTTTTCGTTTTTTGTAAAGGTTTGCTTTATTCCCAAGATATGAAACAGAAATTACTTTATCAGAATCACGTTTAACGCAAGAAGGAATTTACTTCGGAGTTGCTTGAACCCGGAAAGTTTAATTCTAATGCAATGCTGGGGGAGGAGGGGGCGTTATGAAATCCACTGGGAAACAACGGAGTGTGAATGAGTCAACTCTGTGCCTATGTAGTCGATGCAGCAACTACCCCGTCACCATGTTTACTCATTTCAGGCGTCCACCTGATTTGAAATCAGGGGATATGTATTTATTTCACTAGTAGAATACTGCACATCTTTGTTAAAAAGAGGCACTTTTCTGAGCTCTGATATTTTAAAAATGTTGAACTGTGTGGTCCTGTCAAAGTGAATCTACCATCTGCCATTGACTCAGAGTCCTTCCTCCATTTGTCATAAATAGTAATGATTTGACTTGTGGGCTTAGAAAGGTTATAAGAACTTATACAATTTATATCCCCCTTTCTCTGGAGAGTTCAAGGTGGCTTCAGTGGCAGTTTCTCCTTATTTTATCTTACAAGACCAACCCTATAAGGTAGGTAGGCTGAAAGAGGGCAACGGGTCCAATGTCACCCAGAAAATTGCAGGACAGAGTCAGGACTTACACTTCAGTCTCTTTGCTCTTCATGCCCCCAAGCTTAACCAATATGCTATCCTGGCTTTAAAAGGAATATAAATACATCCTCATTCTTAAAGCCTTTTACATTTCTGTCACTGAGACAGATGAAACTGTATGAGTTCCCAGGCACGTTGTTCAAGAGTTGCAAGACTTTTTGATTTGGATTACACCTATTGTTGCCCAAACTGACTGCAATCAGTTTTTACTTATTCCCAAGAAAAATGAAAGTTGGCTGGAGTAGGTGATATTAACTGTTTGCTTAGATTAAGCAAACACCAGTGTTGGCCCAAGGTGCAATGATTTGCTCAGAGTGTTAGAAGTCTAGCATGACTTCTATTGCTTATTAGGTTTGAAGTTTTGATGTCTCTTTTTGGATTTCTGATTATCTTTTCTCTCTTCTCCCTCTGTCTGCAGGTTTTCCATGAAGCTTTTTGTCCTGTTTTTCATTCTTTAAATCCAGCTTGGTGCATTCTATCATTGCCTGCTGCTTGAAACCCTGAAAAACTGTTACTAGTCATCGTTGATCATACTGAGCTGGTTGGAGTAATGACTTAGTATGACACAGCTTCTTAGTCCCTAAATCATAATGTTCCTTATTGGGGAAAGGATATACCTGGGTAGTACTGCATCTGATTTGCATGCAAAATATTCTAGGTTCCTTTATTGACATTTCTAAGTAGTGGTGGCTGAAACCTTGGTTGAAAACGCAGGAAGTCACCATCAGTCAGCAAAGATAAGTCGAGACATACAGGGCAGTGATTAAGTGGAAAACACCTTCCTTTATTCCATCAGTATTATGGTGTGTGTCTGTTTGAATATTTTCAGCCTAAGAACATTAACATGCTTTTCATTTTTTCTTTTTATCCCTTGCATCTTTAGGAGACAACCAGCTTAAAAGTATGTTCTTCAATTGTTTTTTGGAAATGCAAACTCTGGATGGTTATAACATCTGCTTTTCTATTGTTGATCCTTGTGACCATTTTAAGTTTAATTTTGTATTCAGGTTTGTACTCTTTTTGGATGTGATTTTTTCAGATGTATAACTGGGTCAAAAGATTTGGGGGATGTTTTCCTAATTTAGTGCAGAGTCCTGATTCAGTTGAAGCTGGTGTGATTAAATATTACTGATGTTCATAGAACACTGGAATTTTTCACACATCATGCTTAATCAGAAAGAGGGAATACGCCATGTAATGTATTTTCTATTTCCTAATAGTGACATATATTATGGAAACACAAAATGATAACTATTTTCCTCTTGCTGTTTTTTTTAATGTTTTAATGTTTCTTTCTTTAATTAAGTAAAACAAAACAAAAAAGCAAAAGCAAAGCAAACAGAAATGCATACACACACATAAAATAAACTTTACACTAGAGCAAAGGTTGAAGTGAAAACCTGATGATTATTTTA